ACAAATATATTCACAAATATAAACCCTAACCCTAATTTATTCGCATTAAAGTAGATGATAGAAGCCATACCAACGATAGAGAGACAATACTGAATCAGAGGAAGCTCGACAGAGAGAGAGCAGGGAGCACAGAGACAGAGAGAGAGGAGTCAGAGCGAGAGAGAGAGAGAGAGAGTAGTAAGACCGAGAGAGAGACAGCAGACCGAGAGAGAGACAGCAGGGAGAGGAAGAGAGGAAATGTAACAAGCGTGAATGCAAAACACGGGGTTGGGAGATCATATATAGGTTTTAAAATCATGGTTGTGAACCACGATTTCACTTAATGAAAAAAGAATTTGCCAAAAAACGTGGTTTAGAAAAGCGATTCCAAAACAATTTTTTTTTCATAAAATCGTGGTTATAAACAGCGAGTTCAGAACAAATTTTTTTTTCATAAAAGCGTGGTTTTAAACAGCGAATTCAGAACAAAATTTTTTTTTGATAAAATTGTTGTTTGTAACAGCGAGTTCAAAGGGAAAAAAAAATAATTAAAAACGCGTTTTGTAACCGTGATTTCTTAATCAAAAGCGTGTTTTGTAACCACGATTTTAAGATTTCCCCACTCCCACGCGAGAGAGGCGTATATGTGTTGAAATCGTGGTTTACAACCGCGATTTAGCCTATTTTGGGAATTCTTTCAAAACTAGGCTTAGTTTGGGAATTGACTTACTATTTTGGCTTATTTAGGGAAATGGCCCTAAGATTACTCTCTTATTTTTAATAGTGAAAGAGATTCATTATTTAAAGTCCTTCAACCCTATACCCTATATATTACAGAAATTTGACTCTCTCAACTTAAAAATCTCCTTTCTCTCTTCTTTTCCAGTACACACCATATTACAACCCAATCTTTCCTCCATGTCCCTACGCCACCATCTCGCGCTGCCACCGGCGTCGCGATCTTGCCTCCACTCTCACTCTCACTCTCACTCTCACTCTCACTCTCACTCACTTTGTCACACCCATTCCCCCAGCCAATCACTACTTGTTGACTGCCGTCGACGCCCCTGCTAATGTCACCAAAGCATCGCCGCTCGGCCGCCATATGCGTCCCGTCTCGCCCCGCTGCTACACTGTTGCCTCTGTCACAGCTTTCAAAATGGGTTAACAAGTCCAAATCCCCTCTCATACTCTCTCTCTCTCTCTACACACTTTTATAGTTGTAGAGTTATATTTGTCAATTGATCTTCGTTGATGTTGCTACAACTATGGCAGCAAAGAGTTCTAGATCTAGTTCATCTGTTGATTCCTACATCAGCAGCTTGATTAGCTTGACATCCAAGAGCGAAATGAGATATGAGGACGTTTTGTACAACATCAACACTGACGAGTCCAGTATTAGATTGCGAAGTGGTACTGCAGTTTTATGCTCTCTTTTTTTCTTTTTCTTTTTTAAATTAGTTCTCTGTGATGATGATGATGAAGAAGATGAAGTTGGTCCAAGAAATAAGTAGAGACCGGCCATTGGAAATCACAGAAAATGAAATTTCTCTGGGTTAGAGATAATGGTTTCTTTGGTAATTTCTCTAGTTTGGAGAGAATTTCTCTGAGTTAAAGTGAATATTCTTGATGAGAATTTCTTTGGTGAGAATTTGTTTGTGAAATCTAGAAATGAGATATGAGGGCGTTTATACAACATCAACACTGAAGAGTTCAGTATCAAATTGCAAAACGGTACTACAGTCTTATGATCTCTTTTTTTTTTTTTTTGAAAAATTAGTTCTTTGTTTTGTTTAATTAGTTCTATGTGGTGAAGATGATAAAGGAGATGAAGTGGGTCTCAGAGATAAGAATTTATCTGGATTGAAGTGAATTTTTTTGAAAAGTTCAAAGAAATTATTTTCTGGTGAGAATTTCTCTGTGAAGTCCAGGAAATTGTTTAGATCGAATTTTTTCTGGATCAATTTGAAGAACCTTAGACATTATTAAAATATTGAATGTCTTTTATGTTATAAAATCTTAATATCAGTGACCCTAAACAAAAATTCCCATTTTAAAATTGTTTTTTCTCTTTCCTCTTTCTTTCTCTCTTTTTTTAACACATTAATCAATCATTTTTTTTAATCTCTTTTCTCTCATTCTCTCATATTTTATATATCAATTAATCAAATTTTCTCTCACACTTATCTATTTAATTACAAAAAAAAATACAAATTATTTCAGAATTATTTTCAAAACTTATAACCAAATAAGTTTTCAATTTTTAAAACTCTTTTCAAATACTTATTTTTTTAAATACAATTCAAAACTAAACCATAACCGAAACGCTTTTTAAAAACTAAACCAAACAAAGCCTGGCTGTGTTTGGTATGCTCTTTCAAAAAAATATTTTTAAAAATGAAAGAGAATTCTATTATACATTGGCTGTGTTTGGTATGCTCTTTCAAAAAAATATTTTTAAAAATGAAAGAGAATTCTATTATACATTCTTTATATCATATGCATCTTTAGTTAGGCTATTTTTTTTTTTTTTTAGTTATGATCAATTTTTTTCTTTAATTATAACATTATTTGTGAGATTTGATTATACATTTTGTGTTTGATTATGACTTTTTTTTTGTTAGTTATGACTCCGAAAATATGAAATCATATCATTGTTTCTGTAATTACAAGGTGCATATAATACACATCCTTTGAGAGGTGTGTAATATATTGTCTTTTACATTTATTGAATATTTTTTTATATTTTAATTAATTTTTTCTTGTGCTTTTTAGTTGTAATATAATCTAAATGCATCTACAAAGTAAATAAATTAAATAAAATATTAAAAATAAAAAAAAATTAAATAAAAATAAATGTACATTTTTTTTTTCATTTATTTTTAGTATTTTTTTTCATATTTAGTTAATTTATTGTCTTAGACATATCTAATCTTGATATTTCCACCGAGTACAAAAATTCGATTAAAATATGAAGAAAGTTAAGTAAAGACAAAAGAAAACTCCTTTAAAAATAATTTTTGAAAATTTAAACTAAACAAAACCTTTTTATTTGATTTAGAGTTTTTAAAAATAATTTTATTTGTATTTGAATTTTTTTAAAACATTTTAATTACTTTTAAAAAAAAATTTGATTGACTTAATTTAAAATATATTTAAAAGCATAAAATTTATGCACAAAAATACAAAAAACATGTATAAAAATGTAGTATATTTTTGTATTTTGTTGTATTTAATGATTTCTTTTTTCCAAAATTTATAGTTTTAGGTGTAATTTAGATTAAGTGAATCTAAAAATTTTAAAAATGTTATTAAAATGTTAGGAAAATTCAATAAAAACAAAACATACAAATCAAACTTTAAAAAATTGCTTTTTAAAACTCTAAATCAAACATATTTTATTTTATTTTGGAACTCAGATTCTCCATATTTCAAATATGAACTTTATAAATAATTTGATAATCTTGCGTGTCATATTATAAATCATTTTAACATAGCAGACGTTTGGGATTGACTTTTTTAGTTATTTTTTTAATTAAATTTAAATTGTACTTAACTAGACGAATAAGAAAAATAAATAAAAAATGAAAAAAATCAAAATAATTGTTTTGGCTTTTTTCATATTCTTTGTTTTTAAATCTTTTGGTCCGTCTATCCAAAAAACATTCACATCCATTATATCATGTCTAGAATTACGGCAATAATTCAATGATTATAAGTGTTTGGAGACCAAAAAAAAAAATTAACAGCATAAGATATTTGGCCGAGCATACAAGGTCAGAATCATGTAATCACTCTTTTTCATTTTCTCAATATATATTTTTGTTTTGGTAAAGCATGGAATGAAATTGGTTAAATTTAATCAATTTAATAAGATGTCTAGGAAGAGACTCAACTGAATTCCTTAGATGGCGTTTGGCATGAAAGTTGGGTTGATTTTTTGACTAAATTTAACATATCATAATAAGACCATCCACACATGGTAAAAGCACCTTTCAACTATATCCCTGCACTGATATAGATTGCGTTGAAGCTTTAGCAGCCTTGCAAGCTATCTAGTTTGCCAAAGACTTGTGTCTTCCATGTATCCAACTTGAAGGTGCCTCCATGAATGTGATTCATGCTATTCAGGCTCCTGGTGCGGCTCTTTCTCCATATGGCCATCTTGCATTGGCTGCACACAACTTATTGTTTAGCTTTGGGTCTTTTTCGGTGTCCCATGTTTAGCAAGAGGGTAATCCTATAACTCATGGTTTGAGCAGGTTAGCGTTTGACGGCATTGGTATGCGAGTTTGGATGGAGGATGTTCCACCCTTGCTTCAATCTTTAACTGTATCTGATGTACCTATTGTTTCCTGTTAATCTTACTCCTCTCTGTCTAAAAAAAAAAAAAGAACTATATCCCTGTGATTCTTTCTATCCCTGTCAGTTGCAAATATAGTTTATGAAATTTGTAGGTTTGAATTGAATTTTCACATGTTTTTACTTTTTGCCTGCTTATGCTAAATGTCAATTTTTTAATTTAAAAAAAAATGTCAAGGGTCAATTCAAAACAAAAATAATAATTACATAAAGAAAAAAATAATAAAATTAAAACATAAGACCTTAGGATCAATAAAGAACACTTTTATCTTTTGAGTAATACATATTTCTATTTATTTGAATTGCACACGTCTCGCATATGCAAACCGTTAATTAATTATAAAACACAGCTTCTTTTCCCTCCTTTGCTTCTCGTTTATTTTTTTATTCAAACAATAATCATATATATATATATATATATATTTCATATCTCTTGCCATCAGCTGTGCTTAAATGACCACGCGTGAGTGTATGCGGAGCCAGGGTTTGAAAAAAAAAAAAAAGAAGCTTGAGCTTGAGCTTGGGATAGGACTCAACATAAATGGGATTACTTTCAGTCCAACAGAAGCGTAAAATTGACAACAGAGAACTCTACTCGTAGTTTTCAAAACTTAAAATTGGAAGAAAAATAATAAGAAAATTATAAAAAAAAAAAAAAAAAAAAATGAAAGATGATACAAAGGAGGTGGTGGTGATGAAAAAATCATACCAACGAACTTTATCTATTTGCCCAATGAAGAAAGAGAGGTCCATATTACATGAGTCGCATGTTGGTGAGGGTATGTGTCTAAGTATCTGGTTCATCTAATTCTCATTGTTCAAGGACACTAAGACATAGCTAGATTTCAAATAAGAAATTTATTTTTATCTTCTCAGAATAAAAGTAGTGTGGACAAACTAATGTAGGGAACTTTACACATAAAATTGATGTCTAATGCATTGTTATATAGTTACCTTGACTTTAAGCATATATAATGGGAGCATGTCTAGCGAACCATGTCAGACATATAACCTTTCTCAATGTTGAGAGTCCAACGAATTGGGATCCTCCCCTTGCACTCCCTCCTTGCATCCCTCCTTGCAGGCCCTTCGGGCCCATTTTTAGGCCCAATTTTGATAATCCAAACCGTTAATATTTTAAGATTTATTCAGTATATCATACCTGTAAAAAATCAAGTTGATCGGATATCAGAAAGCATGTGTTCGGAAAACTGTTTATTAAATTCTTTTAAAAAATAGTTTTTAGTTCGATTTTTCTGAACACATGCTTTTTGAAATCCGATCAACTTGATTTTTTACAGGTATGATATACTGAATAAATCTTAAAATATGAACGGTTCGGATTATCAAAATTGGGCCTAAAAGTGGGCCCGAAGGCCCTGCAAGGAGGGAGTGCAAGGAGGGAGCACAAGGGGAGGATCTTCACTCGATCAAGAAGCTGCTCAATAATCATATCACAAACTGTAGTCTTTCCTGATACTGCACCTCCAGCAACTCCTGTCCCACAGAATGTTTTATAGAATCCATGTATTAATCAAAAAGGAGGACCCTTTTACTGTTAAAAAAAATTGAAGGAAAAAAGATAATCTAATAAAAAGAAAGAAACATAATTTATAAAAGCAAGGAATAAAGTTCCCTCATGGTGTAATATATATGTCTGTAAGTTAAGAACAAATCACTGAACAAGAGGCCAATAACAAATAGTAGAAGTAATACAAAGAAAGTACAGATGTTGAGCGTTTGTAACACAACATTTTTAACCCCCCAAAATCAACTGAATAGATTATGCGAAAAGAAGCACCAAGGGGGTGCAAACCATATAAGAGAATAGACTAACATCTCAATTTTCAAAATTCATGCTCAATGGTGAATTATCAGTTCAAATCAAAAAATTCATTCTGTATGAAGACTGAAAAACCTAGATGCAATAAACAAGGCAATATGAGGGAACGATTAAAATGATCTCCTGTGTTGTGCCTAAACTTACCAATGACAAAAGGTTGCTTATGCACATGTTCAGCTGCTGATGTTGTCGGTTGCTCCACCTCTGAAGTTCTTGGCTCCAATCCATCCAAGTGAAATCCAGAAAATGAACCCCTGATGAACCTTCTATGAAATCAACAACTAATTTAGAATTAGAACCCATGTGGTGAGCCCTCCTAAACCCTGCATGTTTGAAGAACAAAGGTTAGTGAAGTGGTTTAAGAAATTATCTATTCACAAAGTCAATAAAAACTGTATATAGTTCACAGTGGCACTCCAGTATGATCAATAAGAACTACATCGTAGTGTTTGTTGATTACCAAGAATCACTGAATCTTAAATCACATTAGCTTTCAATTCCAGTGCAATAATAGTCAAGCTAGGCAATAAAAGGCAACGATTTCATTGCTCATTGCTTTCCGAGTTCCACATAAAACTTTTTCAGATGTAAGAAAGACATTCATCAGAAAATGAGAAAATAACAGGCAACTGTTGTTCTCAATCTCCATTCCTACAATTCGGCTACTTAAAACTTCAATTTGCCCATGTTTTCATCAAATTCTATAATTTTTGAATTCCCAAGTTTTCACTTGTTCACCTAGAAACCATATGAAACCATAGCAAAAATAACCATTCAAAATCCAAAGATAATCAATTAATAAAATTTGACCGGCTTAGAACTTACTAAACATTTTCAAAACATTTTACAAAATTCTAGCCAACTCGAATAGCCAAAAAAAAAAAAAAAACCAGTATTTACACCAGAATCGAACCTCTTTGAGCTCAATCATGTTCTTGTTGATAGTCTTGAAACACTGAATGTATGCATCCCCAAGAACCAACCCGCTACCCAAACACACAAAAATCAACTTGTAAACAAATCCAAGATTTCAGAAAAAAGGTCAAATAGAGTTGAGGAAAAAAGGGTAGAGAATGAAAAACAGTGGGGAAAAAAAGGAAAAATGATTAGTTTATATCATACACAATTCCTCTGGTAATGAAATCTCCAAGCATTCTTGATCCCTATGAATGAGTGCCCCACCAAATTTCCTAGACAACCAAACATACATGAATCACAACAAAGTCGATATATACAAATGAATAACAACAACAATTTCACATTTTGCATCAAGAAGAAAAAAGAGAAGAAAAGGACAAACAAAAACAAAAGCCAAAAAATAACCACACCAACGATTTGGTAAAAAGCTTAAAAAGCGTCCTGAGATTTATAAAAAGTATTTTGAATTTAGTAATAAGTGTCATGAGATCTACTGATCTATTTCTTTTTCATGTGCCCTAGGAAGACACAAAATATATACACATACATAAAATTAACAGTAATCAGTTCTGAAGTCTGATAATTTTCCAACCAGTTGCTGTCAAATAATCTGCTAGAGAGGGACAACATATATTTTGGGGGGGATATGGGGGCAAGGCGTCATATATAAGCTTGGGCCCTGAGGGAACACTCCATGACCCTACAATTCACTGATTGATGTCAACTTTTCATATCATGCTCCCCACTCCCATCATCACACAAAGTGTTTGGCTAAAAAGGAAAGAAAAGAATAAGAAGAAGAAAGGAGCAGCCCAATGGCCAATTCACAATCCTTTTTCTTGGATGAAATCAGGAGAATTTTGTTCACCTCATCACAAGAGTCCCTGACACCACTTTTCACAGATCCCACCATGATCATGATTCATGATTATCCATCCATCCCAGAAGGGGGTCCACATTAGAAGTATGGAAAAAATTCTAGAGAAGCCAAATCACCCCAAATTCTATTGTACTTTTTAATTACACAAAATTACATAAAATTATCAATCCCAACTTTGGAGAAAAACAAATTATTCAATTATCAAATTACTGTTTGTTTGATGAATCTTCACTTTTTGGAGGTTGCTCCTGCATCCAGTTTATGGCTCTATAGTATGAACAAACTATAAATTTAAAAATTATAAAAGAGTATGATTATCATCAAAAGCTTAGAAGCAAAAGGAAAGAACTAAAGAGAACTTATCAAACTGACAAGTGTATGAAATTCAAATGAAAAAGATAAAATAGATTGCCATCTGACATAAAGTGTAATCATCCCCACAAATTTGCATTTGAGAGAAAGAAAAGAAACCTGAAATTAAGGGCAAAAAAGCTAAAGCTAAAGCTAAAGAAATCTTCAGCAAAAACCTACAAATTCCCACAGAAATTCTTTGCCCACCTTCAATTCAGAGCTCATGTTTATAGTTTCTGAAAGAAAGGGTAATGAAAAATAAATGAGTTCCATTATGCAATCAACTACGAGATAAATCATACTGTATCCGGTTCTGCAATTTAAAACAGCTGACCAAAGAATAGAAAACATTAATGCAAAAGGAACCAAAAGTTTAAGTTGATACCTCAGAATCTCTTGATCCAAGTAAACTCTTGTCATTTATATTAGCTGATCCTATCAAGGATATGGATATACAGTCATCAATCATCATGATTTTGCTACGCATATACGTCTGCAGAAACATAAGAATGCAAAATGAGATGTGAATATCTTCTCTCCATACCATATTTCACATGATCCATTTCCCAAGCATGCCAGCTATTCGCTAAAATTTGGTTTTCTTGTTTACTTTGTAGGAATTGGGTTCAAACTTTCCCCAGCCACTTCTCATTAATAGTCTCCTAGTGCATACAAAAAGGGGTGTGCGTGATTTGTTTAACTCTCTCACTACCAGTTGATTCTCAGACCTATCCCTTTGTGCCATCAAGTAATCATAATCTTATTCTTGGATCTTGTTAGTCATATTGAGGGAATTAATATTTTTATAGATTCTTCTAATCTATATGCATACTAAACTACTATAGTATTAGAATTTTTTTTAATTAATTTGTTTGTTTGATTTTGGCCCCCCCTTTTTTTTCATTTTCTTATAGTGTCTTCTTTATTATGTTTCTTTTTCCTTCAAATGAATCCAAAACCCCATAGTATATCTCTCCACGGGTCAAAGAAAGCAAGACACTTCAAATATTTTTCTATTTATTTTTAGCTATTAGAAAAAGGGAGGATTTTCTATTTGTTCATTCAATTCAATAAGCTATTAAACAAATTGAAAAAAAGTAGACTGGAAATGAAAGCCTCTTTCTCACATATCGGATGGGTAATCAATAATTGTTGCTCCTAACATTGTAGTTTTGGCTTCTATATAGAATTTGAGTTTCAAAATGCATGCCTTTGCAACTATTATGAGTTGTACATCACCTTAAATACAATTTCCAGCATTTAAATATTAATTCCAACATTAAATCTTTAACTTCAGTATGTAAATTAAATTTCCAGCAGCAAGTATTTATTTTCAACAATTTAGATTAGCAGATTTGTGCTTAACTCATTCAAGTAATGCAACATTCGTTATTACCATACTTCGCATATATTTGCACACTTACATGGAATCAAACTTTTCTCAATACCAATACATGAACTGTTCCTTGAACTGAAATAGCCCAAGACGCAACCAACCATGTTCTATTAATTAAGAACATGCTGCAAACTCCACAAACATATATTCCCATGTGTAACTCATTAAAACATCCAGAAATTAAGCAAATGGTGAGAAAGGGGCTCTGAGGAGGTAACATAGAGATCAACCTCATTTGATTTAAATAATTCAGTAAAAGTGATAAATAAATAAAAAAATTTAAAAGAACGACCGTTTAGGCAAAGAGATCCTAATGGAAACACTCAATTGTCCATATTGTTCTGCACAGTTCAGGGTAACCATCTTACCAGTATCAAGAATGCCCCTTGAAAATCCTTTAATTCTCTTCTCCAATCCAGGTTTTTCATCATCTAATCAACACGTTCACCCAATTCAGTTCTGCAACAGAAAATGAAAAGTAGAACATAAGCAGCAAGAATCATGAAGAGAACCTACCAAATCTTGAGCTCTTAGATCTTGAGTTAGATTTCGAACAAAAACAAAAAATTTAAAATTTAAAAATCTCCTTTTCATTCAACTGTTTTCTCATCAACCAAACAGCAATCAAAGAAATTTATCAAAAAAAGAAATTAAATACAATTTCCAGCATTTAAATATTAATTCCATCATTAAATCTTTAACTTCAGTATGTAAATTAAATTTCCAGCAGCAAGTATTTATTTTCAGCAATTTAGATTAGCAGATTTGTGCTTAACTCATTCAAGTAATGCAACATTGGTTATTACCATACTTCACATATATTTGCACACTTACATGGAATCAAACTTTTCTCAATACCAATACATGAACTGTTCCTTGAACTGAAATAGCCCAAGACACAACCAACCATGTTCTATTAATTAAGAACATGCTGCAAACTCCACAAACATATATTCCCATATGCAACTCATTAAAACATCCAGAAATTAAGTAAATGGTGAGAAAGGGGCTCTGAGGAGGTAACATAGAGATCAACCTCATTTGATTTAAATAATTCAGTAAAAGTGATAAATAAATAAAAAAATTTAAAAGAACGACCGTTTAGGCAAAGAGATCCTAATGGAAACACTCAATTGTCCATATTGTTCTGCACAGTTCAGGGTAACCATCTTACCAGTATCAAGAATGCCCCTTGAAAATCCTTTAATTCTCTTCTCCAATCCAGGTTTTTCATCATCTAATCAACACGTTCACACTATTCAGTTCTGCAACAGTAAATGGAAAGTAGAACATAAGCAGCAGGAATCATGAAGGGAACATACCAAATCTTGAGCGCTTAGATCTCGAGTTAGATTTCGCAAGATCAATATATAAGGTGGATCCCTTCTCAAGGTCAAACACCATTCCCTGAAGAAAAACATTTACAATCAAAAGATTTTAGTATGTGGATTCTATACTGTGGGAGCCGGATAATTGGAATAATGAGAAGCGTGCTCTAGAAGACAGATATTACACGGCTCTACCCTGCACGATAAGGATGCCAAATATAATAGATAGGCCGAATAAATACTGAACTATGGAGCCGAGTAAATAAGAGGACAATGAGTGACAAGTGGGCCTGGCCACGAGGCCCAGAAAACAAGTATAAATAAAGGAACAACAGACTAAGAAAGGCATGTGAGAATTGTTGTGCTTAACTTAAAATACAAGCATTCTTGAGTCTGGAGACTGACTTGTCCCTCGGAGTGCTAATTCCGGCGCCCCCGACCGGAGTGTTTATTCTTTTTCAGGTGACCAGAAGAGGATCACGAGCGTTCCCTAGGATCAGAAGAGTATTTCCAAACCACTTCTCCACATGTACCATTAAAAAAGTTTTACAACATGACAGCACCATAACATCTCCACATAAAAACCTATAACACTATCAAAAGTTATCTGGTGTTTCCTTTCTGGATGGAGCAGCCAATATCAAAGATATTTTTCTTACATGTGCCAAAAGCAAATGCAACTTATGTGATGAAATGACTAATATTGGCTATCAATTGATGATATTATCATTGAAATTCTATAGATATTGCATTCAGAATTTCCTTGTACTTGTCCATAAGCTTCCCTAGTTTTTGTGTTCTTAAACAGAGTCATAAGAGTACCCAAGGTGTTTTGTACCTACTTTGATTCAGTAGATAAGAACACAACCTGATAAACAAAACGTACAAGGCCAGCTCTAATACTGGCTATACATAGGATATCACCAATATGGGTTAGCCTTTGCCCTTTATCCATATTAAATTTAAATTTGAGTAAAAAAAACTCCCAAAACCCTTTCCAATCCTTTATTCAAACTCGTATCAAATTGAGTTCCCCCCCCTCCCCCTCCTTTTACTCAAATCAAGAGGCTCAAATGTTTATCATTCAGCCATTAGTGACGTTTGTACACAAATTTATGCTTAAATCTGAGTTTATCCATTAGAGTTCTTCATATCAAATAAAGCTTTTACTCACAAGTGGACAAGAGGGTGAATAGACTACTATAAGCTAAAAATCAAGTTCCAACTTTAGGGGCAAAGGAATTAGGTGGAATTGAGTTAGGTAGGACTTCGGTTCAAATTGCCTAATTAGAATTCGGCAAAAAATTCAAACTACCAAAATAAAGCAGGAACAAATAATTCAAAAGGCAATTGACCAAAACAGAACAAGTCAGATTTACAGATTAAGCAATATTGATGCTGTTAAACATCTCATTTGGAGAAAGAAATTAAAGAAAGTGATAAAGGGACAGAACCCAGGAAAAAAAAAAGGAAAGTTAACCAATTTTCTTGAGAAAAAATAAGAAGAATTACCAAAATGAAGGGGAGCAATCAGAGCGAAATTAAATCAAAAGTTGCGGTGTTTTTGTTTTTTTTTGTTTTTGTTCCTTTTCTTTTTTTGTTTCTAATATGTATATCAGTTTCTAGATTGTAGTTTAGCTTCTACTTTATTGAGGATCTTGCTGTTTCCTTTTTGGGTTGTAAGGGAGTATGGCCCATTGCCTTTGCTTCTATTTTAAAATGGTTCAATGCTGTTTGAATGAGGAGATTACCATATTGGTCCAGTACTATTTCATCCAATTGGGAGTTATCTCTGAATTCCGAATGATACTACTATACATTTCTCAACAATCTCAACCTTACCTGGTTGGGATAATTCAGTCTGCATATCCATAGTTTGTTTTTTTAGTAATTAATAGAAGTCAAATAATACAACCAGGTTAGGTATCTTATACAACTAGGTCAGTGTAGCTGCAAATAATACAACCACGTCAGTGTGAGCTTCAAATGGGTTTGTTTTTTTATTTTTTTATTTTATGGTATTTTATTTTATTTATACGTTATCCTTTCTAACCTAAATGCATCTTGTGGGTTTTTATTAGAATTTGATCACGTCATATCCCTACTGTATTGTCCAAATCTTACTATGTTCTGTACATTTGTTTATTGTGATTCAATTTGATTCTCTTGTGAATTTGTGATTCATTTGTTTATTGTGATTCAATTTTATTCTCTTGTGAATTTGTGGTTCAGACATATTGCCTAACAGATGGTGAACAATTTGTGGAGGCTAGACATCTCAGTCTCTTATTCAAACATATTTGCAAACACATGGTAGATAAATCGTAAAGACAACAAAACATGAATAAAACAATGCCATAAATGTATAACATTAAATCGAAACAGACATACAATGGAAAACAGACGCAGACAGAAAAATAAACAGAGAAGAAGAACATACCAGCTATTCTGATGCAAACCACATGGAAGCACCACTTTGCCAATATGAAGGTCCAAATAGTTCACAACACTTGGAATCTCTTTTGAAATAAGACAATCAGTGTTTTGCAGATTGAAAGATTGAAACCACACAATTTGTGTATACCAAATTACTGCTTGCAGTGACTCACCTGCTTGGTTCTGCATCACATAGGGACTCCCACTATTGGGGGGACAAGAAACCAACAAAACACACGGACTCAAGTATGGACTAATGAGGAGAAACATCCAGTTACAGACCAAATATATCTTATTTAGTTTTACATTTTTTTCTGGTTCAAATCTCTATTTCAAATCCTTCAACTAAATATATTGTTAATGTGTTTGATTTCACACATTTTTTTCTCTTTTTTCTTTGAATTTTTTCAAATTCTCTGATCAAATATATTGTTAGTGCCAATTTGAAAATACAATAAAAAGTCAAAAATTAATTTTTAACTTATTTTGAATTACATCACTTTTATATTTTTTACACATTTTTTTTCAAAAACAAATTTAAAAAAAAATTAAAAACTAATTTTTAATCATTTTTCCAAAACACTGCTTGGTTTGATGATTTGAAAAAGAAATTTTAAATAAAATATAACTACCTATTACTTTCTCAAATTCACAACTAAACAGTGTTAGATTCAAGCGAATTGTTTGCTTGCGTTCTTTTATAGATAGCTTATAGATATAGATTATTCAAATGAAATTAGCATCATCACATTCAATTGAAAAAACAAAAAAACCTTTACGTGGAATATCTTCCTCCTATAATAAGGAAAAAAGGGTACCAAAAAAAAATTACAATTATAGGAAAAAGGGGTAAAAAAAAAAAAAATACAAAATCACAGTCGACAGAAAAATATCTAAAAACAATACACTATCCAATCCAACGTAATCATCACCGCAAAATTAAACAAAAGTGAGAGAGAGAGAGAGACAGACAGAGAGAGAGAGATTATCGATGCTAAATAAAAAGGGCCAAATTTAAAAAAGTAAAAACAACAACCAGCCCCAACCGCGCACGATAGCACCGTCTCTCCGGTGCGCCGGACCTGAGCCTTATACCCTTCTTATAGGCTTTCTCACCCAAGTCGTTGACTTCAACGTCAGCACCCACAGCCAATCTATGCTTCTTGGTCTTCCAAGCCAAGATCTTGAATCTCACCGCCGTCACCAAATCCACCCTGAAAACCGTCGACCCATTCTCCGCCGCCACAACCTCCTTCCACGGCACGCCTGCTCCACCAACAACCACCGTGCTCCGCCGTTGAACACCATAAAACCCATTTCCACCATGTCGGACTCCGGCTGTGCCAGCTGTTGCCGGTGCTGTTTCAGCTTCATACTAACCTCAGGCCTCACAGCTCTCTTTATGTGGCTCAGTCTCCGTACAACAAACCCAATTTGCTCCATCCAATACTTTTACGTTCCTGCCCTCAACAAAACCTCTAATTCCCAAAACAACACCACCATCTACTTCGATCTCAAGCTCGACAACCCAAACAAGGACAAGGGAATTTACTACGATACCCTCAATCTCACCCTTTATTACGCCCCCAACAAGACATTTCCTATAGCCAACCAGTCCTTTCCGAGCTTTTACCAAGGGCATCACAAGCATACTAGCCGGACAGAGACGGTGGCGACACGTGGCGTGCCGTGGAAGGAGGTTGTGGCGGCGGAGAATGGGTCGACGGTTTTCAGGGTGGATTTGGTGACGGCGGTGAGATTCAAGATCTTGGCTTGGAAGACCAAGAAGCATAGATTGGCTGTGGGTGCTGACGCTCAAAGAAGAAGAAGGCAAAGTGGTATGTTTGGGAACACGGTTTAACCAGCGTGTTACTCGGTACAACTACCGATTAAAATATGGAATTGACTACAAACTTGACTTCCACTTATAAAATTCAAATGGTAAATTACGCTTTAGTATCACTATTTTTTATATTTCGGCACTTGATGCATAAATTTAAATTTAAATAATTTAAATTATTTTTTTTAAAAATTCACGATCTAAAACATTAGGGTTGTGTTTGGTAGAGTTTTGTAAATATAATTTTAAAGTATGAGTTATATTTTGAATTTGTGAATTTTGGAATTATGATTTGAGCGTAGAAATTTTGTTTGGTAAAATAATTTTTAATTGAATGGGAAATTTTTGATGTGTCATATGATATTTGATACAAAAATTTATAACTCATAACTAAACATACAACTCAAAATCCTATTAAAGCACATAAAAAAAATTTAAAAATTCAAAAAATATTTTTTCGAATATATAAAAATTAACATATATATTTTTCGAATATATAAAAATTAACATATATCAATTGCACAAAAAAAAAAAATTGCACTATTCCTGTTAACCGGCCGGACGACCGATGGAACGTCCGGTGAGACGACCGGTTTGGCCAAATTTGAAAAAAAAAAAATTGAAAATCACACCTCAGACAGAGTTTTGTGTAGAGTTTTGTAAATGTTGTGGAAATGTGATTTGAGTGTGGTATCCAAACATCATGTTGAAATATAGGGGTAGAAATATAGTTTGGAAATCATTCCAAACAGAGCCTAAGTTTATAAGGACAAGTTCCAATTTAATGACCAAAAGACCTTTCCATCTCATATGTTTTAGTTCTGTCACTCTCAAATCTGGAAAATTATACAATACTCATGGAACATCAGGTGGCCATATTCCAAACTAATCATCAATTCCTTAGCCCCATGTTGTTTCCTTATCCCCAACATAAATTGCAGGCCCCTTCCCCTCTCCACCAATCAAAACTTTATAGAGTATCACGTGTCTATACTCCGGAAGTAATGAATAATCACCCCCTCAGATCTTAAAAGAATATCTTTCGCTTGCAGCCGCCGGAAGCGACATCTCCACTGTCAGCATCGTCTCCAATTTCCTATTTTCTCTTTATCATCTTCTTCTCTTTTTGTTACTCATCAATGGAAGTTAGGGCTTTACAACTTCAATTGTAGTTTGTGTTCGTCTCTCATCAACAACATAGACACCAAAAAGGGGTTATATGACAACCCTCACCTCTGATTAGTGCTAAACTGTGATTAAGCATGATAAGTAATTGATTAAGCTGAAATTCTGAATTGATTGCATGAGTATGTTACTTAATTGCATTTCTATCTGTTTATCATGAAATGATTTGTTCATGTTTTAATTTCGAATTGCGAATTAGAAGCCTTATCGGCAATCGATTCAGGAATTGATTAGTATTATATGCTAATTAGAATTTATGTGATTTTATGGTAGGTTTAATTAAAAATTGATTTGGAACGATTAATTAGATTGAGTTATGCTAGATTAATTGAACCTTGGTAAGTACCCTTTTGCCATTGAGTGGCTTGACCCATTGGCCAACCTTTATTACACCTCATACATGTTTGATGCATTATTTTGTTCATCTTCTAGACCAAAACAGAGAGAGAGAGAGAGAGAGAGAAAGTAGGAGAAAAGCTTGATTTCAACAAGAATTGGCTTGGAAAATTAGAGGAATTAAGGAGATTTGCAAAAATTGAGCTTCCATACCTAGAATTCAAGACCTAAGGTAGGAAATTCATCCTTTTATTTATGCATTTGAGTTGTTACATGCATGGTTCATGAGAAATTAGTGATTTGAGTCAAGAATTAGCTCAATGTGTTAAATTAAGAGCCCATTCATGCATGCATGTCCATGTTATTGAGTTTTGAGGCCATTTTCATGAGAATTCCTACTTGCATGTTCATATTTTTGGTGGTAGTCCATGAATTCATCATGTTCTTAAGCTCAATCTTGCATTTGATCTTGTTTTGGAACATTAGAGTTCATGGGAACTCATGCATGTACGATTTTGCATTGTTCTTGCATTATTCTTCAAATCTCTTCAGAATTGTGTTCAATTGGCTTACTTTTGGGCTTGATTTCATAAATCGATTTTTGAAACATGTTATAGTATGAGTTTTCAAGTGTTCTCCAGAAAATTAGCCCAAAAGAATCGGGTTTGAAGCTTTAAAGGTTGAGTTTTGTGCTTGGGGATCAATCTGGAAATTCCAAATTTTCGATCCACGCTAGAGCGGAGGACTTCACGCTCGAGCGTACACTTTGAGTACATGCACTTCCGCTCGAGAGTATAAAGTCACGCTCGAGCGTGAAATGCATATGCCCAGAAGTTCATGTGTTTTGCAGTCCGCTCGAGCGAGAGAATTCACGTCGAGCGTGAATATCATGCATCCAGTACTTTTCATGAGTTTGCAGCCCGCTCGAGCGAAGGAAGTCACGCTCGAGCGGAGCTTCATTGTCTACATGTTCGCTCGAGCGTGGACCCTTGTTTCAGCAAATTTTGAAAAGTGTTTTAATGTACATCTTTGCATCCTCATTCCATCCTAGGCATTCCTAGGCCAAGTTTAAGGCATTTTAATGAGGATAATGTTATAGAACCATACCAAGTCAAGTTAAGGGGCTAAGTTATTGATTCCCAAGTGTGTAACTTAGTGTGTGTTCGTTCTGCAACTGTGTAGGGTTGGCACCCGAGGACGCTGAGTAACCTGTCTGTATCCCAGTATTCTGTGAGTAACAATGTTGTAAAGATACGTTCAATTATAATTATTTTCGAACGATTATTTGTACTACTTTCTGAAAATGGCACTGTTTACTGAATGAATGTTTGTCCTATTTGTGACAACGCTTACTACTGTTTACTGATAACACCACTGATTACTGTTAAACTGAGACTGATCATGATAAGTAATTGAACTGACTGAATTACTAAACTGATTGATTGATTGTACTAGTTTGAATGCAATTCTATCTGTTGACTGTTAAATTATCTGTTCATGTTTTATGCTTTAAATTGCAAATTGAAGGCCTTATCGGCGGCTGAATCTGAAATTGATTAATGTTTTGTGCTAATTAAGATTTATATGATTTTATGGTATATTTACTTGAAATGTGATTTGGTATGATTAAAATAGATTTAATAAAGCTAAATTACAAGAGTTGGACTTAATTGCCATTTTGCCATTAGTGGGCTTTGCTAGACAATTGTTTAGTCTTGACTTATCTATGCTATATATCATCCTTGTTCATTTGTGTGAGACCAAAACCGACTTGAGTGAGAGAGTGAAAGAAATTGAGTTCAACTTGGAGGTTTTGCTTGGAAATTATAGGAATTGAAGGATAATTTGCATAATTGAGCTCCCATATCTTGCATTCAAGACCTAAGGTAGGACATTTACCTTCTTGTTTGTGAATTCAAGTTAATTGTTGCATGGTTCATGGTAAATAGGAGCTTAAGATCATAAATTGGTTGTAAATTGTTGAATTGGAGCTTGATTCATGCATGCATGTGCATGGTCTTGCATTTTAAGGTTGTTTTTCATGAAATTCTTGCATGTATGTCCATATTATTGTTATAGTCCATGAATTCCTCATGTTTTTGAAAGGATTGGCTCATTTGTTCTTGAATTGGAAGCTGGAAGTTGATTTAATTCATACATGTTATGTTTTACATCATGTTCATGGAATTTGTTTAAATTGTGTTTTAATTGAACTACCTTTGAGTTTTGATTTTTCAAATTGATCATCAAAACATGTTATATTATGAGTTTTAAAGTGTTTTCAAGAAAATTAGCCCAAAAGGATCGAATTTGGTATATTGAAACTTGATTTTGAGCTTGAGGTTCAAATCTGGAAATTCCAGATTTTGGACTCCCGCTCGAGCGGGAAATTCGTGTATCCAGTACTTTTGTTGTGTTTTTAGTCCGCTCGAGCGGGGTTTTGCACGCTCAAGCGAGGACTTGTGTCACACGCTCGAGCGGGTGTCGAGCGCCCATCGAACGTGATTTCACACATCCAGTACTTTTGCAGTTCGCTCGAGCGGGAAAGTTTACGCTCGAGCGGAGCCTTTTGTTTGCATGTCCGCTCGAGCGGGGAAACCCACGCTCGAGCGGGACCTCTATTTTCTGAAAATTCTGAAAATATTTTTAAAGTGCATCTTTGCATCCTCATTCCATCCTAGGCATTCCTAGGCCTAGTTTAAGGCATCTTAATGAGGATATTGATGTAGAACCATACCGAGACAAATTAGGGATTAAGTTATTATTTCCCGACTGTGTAGCTTAGTGTGTGTTCACTCTATAACTGTGTAGAGTTGGCATCCGAGGACGCGTACTAGCCTATCTGTAGCCCAGAACTCTGTGAGTAACAATGTTGTAAAGATATGTTCAATAATGATTATCTTCTAAACAATTGAACTATACTGTTTTCTGAAATGAAACTGTTACTGAATGAATGATGTCCTATCTGTGAACTGTATTCATGGCATCCATAGCAACCTACTGTTACTGTACTGTACTGCTACTGTCACAGAGATCTCTGTCGGTTGCCATGTTAGAACCACTACTATTTACTGATATGATGGCCATCAATTGACTGTTCGGTCTGATAAGATTTACTGTACCGTTTTGCTATTGGATGTACCACATATGACTATTATAGTTTCTGAATGACTGTTATGGCATGAAATATGAGCCACAAACTGAACGACTATTATACTGATAACTAACTGTTTTCAATACTGAAAGGACATTCATTCTTAATCTCTTTACGCATATATTATTCACTGGGCTTTAGCTCACTGCTCATATCTATATGTAGGTGTACAGACACCGAACCGTTGCTAGGAGCGTCGGGCTAAGCTCCCGTTTTGTCAAAGCCAACCACCGTGCCTCACTGCGAGGTTCTCAGTCCTTCAAGCTAGGGCTTTTTGGGGTGTTTTAGTTTTCCCCCTTTGTATCTGTTTTGTAATTACTATATATACTGAATGATATCGTACTAT